TCTCTCTCTCTCTCACCTCCAGCTTGTCGGTCAGCTCCTTGTACATCCGCTCGTACTGGCGGCTCATGTCCTGGTTGCGCTCCAGCAAGGCTTTCCCCAACCGGGCGGCCAACACCAAGTCCTTCTCCTTCTGCCTCATCTGCGACAGCAGCACCTCCGGCTCGGCTGGGGGGGACGCCGCCGCGGGGCCTCCGGGCGGCTCGCTCTCCGCGGAGCCTTCCCCGGCCGAAGCCAGCATGGCCAGCTCCTCCTCCAGGGCCAGGGCCAGCTCGCCGCCCACGACCGAAGGAGACGGAGCCGCCGCCGCAGAAGGCGGTGGAGAAGAAGAAGAAGGAGCCGCAGCCGCCGCCGGAGGAAGGAGAGGAGCCGGCAAAGCCACCGAGCCCAAAACCGCGTCTTTCCCCGCCGTTGGAGGCGGCTGGGCTGCGCCGGCCGTTCTCGGGCCGTTCTCCATGCGGCAGGCGCTGTCCAGCTCGGATGGTGCTGAAAGAGCTGCGGGCAAGCAAGAGGCGGACATGGCCGGGCCCCGGGCCACTCCAGGCGCAGCGGCGGCCGAGGAGGGAGCCCGGAGCCCGCCACGGGACGCCCTCTGGCCGCTCTCCTCCCGCTCCTGGCTCGGGCCCCCCGGCTTGCGGGCAGGAAACGCGCAAGGGCGAGCGGGAGGGTGGGAACCGCGCTTACTCCACCCGCTGGAGCCGCCGCCTCCTCCGCAGCCCGGCGCTCTTAAGGCGAGCCGGGCGCCCGGCCGGCGTTGGAGCCGAGTGGGGCGTCGCTGGTGCTGATGCTGCGGGGGCCGGGGATGGGTCTGGGGGCGCTGGTGCTGCTCCTGCCGGCGGCCCCGCTTGCCAGCCCCGCGCGCCGAGCCCCATCGCCCCGGCCGAGCATCGCGCGGAAGGCTGGCGAAGCCACCGGTGGCGGCGGCGGAGGGGAGGCCGGATCCCCCCTCCCTCCCTCCTCAACCTCCCCCCTCCCCCTTCCAGCCCCGTGACGCCAGCAAACACCTGTTCAGCCGGCGGCTCGGATTGGCCGAGACGGGTGTCTCCACGGCCCCGCCCACAGGTGC